GAAACTCCAGTACTTTGGCCACCTGATGTGAAGAACTGACTCATTGGAAAAGACCCTGAAGCTGGCAAAGATTGAAGGCGGGAGGAGGAGGGGACAACAGAGGATGAGATGGTTGGACGGCATCACTGACTCTCCAGACATGAATTTGAGTAGGCTCTGGAAGTTGGTAATGGACAGGGAAGCCTCGTATGCTGCAGTCCATGGGGTCGCAAAGAGTTGTTTGTACACGATTGAGTGACTGAACTAACTAATGAAGTAAGTTGAAAACTTTTTTTTTTAATGAAACCATTACCTAACTTAAGAACTCGAACATGGTTCCACTATGATGAAGTCCATCTGCAGGCTCCTCATCTTCTACCCCAGACCCCTGGAAAATCCGCTATCCTGATCCTCCACCATAATTCTCCCTCCAGGTAATGACAGCTTCATTCACTTCTATCCTAAAGCCAGAAATTCTGGAACGTCTTTAACTCTCCCCTTTCCCTCAGCCCCTGTGTCCCTCACCCACAACTCCAGAATTCTTGACTGTGTGTCCCACAGCACGGTGGAATTCAGCTTCATCTTCCTATTGCCAGAGCCCCTGCCTGAGGCTGACTACCAACTCTCACTGGATCCTACGAACGCTGTCTGATTGCCCTTCAGTTCATCCTCCTTCCTACAACTAGAAGAATATTCTTAAATGCAAAGTTGATGGTGCTACTTCCCCACGTAAAACTCTTTAGTGTCTTTCCATCACATTTAAGTGAATCTTGGAAGGCCTGTCTTGATCTCAGCCCCACTTAGCTCTGGTGCCTCTTGAGCCACTCTCCACCCTCCAGCCACAGGGATACGACACTTACTTCAGTCTTTTAAGCACATCACGTGCCCTCTGGCATATGTGATGTGCTCAATCACTCAGTGTGTGCCACTCTTTGCGACCCCATGGACTGCAGCCCACCAGGCTCCTCTGTCCATGGAATTCTGCAAGCAAGAATACTGGAGTGGGTGGCCATTGCTTTCTCCAGGGGATCATTCTGACCCAGAGATGAACCCACATCTCCTGCATTGGCAGGCAGATTCTTTCCCCATGTGCCACATAGGCAGACACTCTAAATTGTCCCCAGCATTCATTGTCTTCTTTTTAGTAAGAGAACCAGCCCCACTCAGCCCTAGATTTAATAGGACACATGACACCCAGCTATTGGCCACTTTTGTCAGTCTCCCATGCCATTAGATGTGATGCTGTGGCCAGATTTTTGTGACTGGATTGTGAGAAAGAGCAATATGTGCAACTATAACTTAGTGGCTCAGATGGTAAAGAATCTGCCTGCAAAGTGGGAGACCAGGTCCATGGGTCAGGAAGATCCCCTGGAGAAGGAAATAGCAACCCACTCTAGTATTCTTGCCTGCAGAATTCCACGGACAGAGGAGCCTGGTAGGCTACAGTCCATGTAATCATAAAGAGTCAGACACAACAGAGTGACTAACTATAACTTTACTTCCTTAGAAGTAAACTGATTGCCCTTTGCTTCTTCCTTAGGGCTGGAATGCAGAAGTGGAGCTAGAGAATAATCTTCAACTGTGTGGATGAGGATATGGGAAGGCTATAAAATGGAAGGAAACTGTGACTATGACTGTCCAGGCGCATATGGATATTTGAACAGGTTAAGCTGTGTATTAGTCAGGATAGTTTGGGTGATGTTGTAACAAACAACTCTCAAAGCATGGTGGCTTAACATAACAGAGGTTTATTTTTCACTTATGCTCCATGTCCAACCCAGATCAGTAGAGTGGCTCTGCTCAGGGACCCAGCCTAATGGAGGGCTTCATCTGAATATGCTCTTTAATGAACACACAGGAGGCCAACCGCGCTCTGTCGCATCACATTTCCAGCTGGGAGTCAACTACATCACTCCACTCAACAATGCAAGTCACACAGTCTCGCCTCATTCAAAGAGGACTGAGGATAGGTAATTGTGTTCCCAGAAGGAAGAGAAACCCAGAATATCTGTGACTAGTCCTAAAGACTCTTAGCTTCTGGCTTAGTATATCTTAGCTTGTGCTCCCCCAAAAAAGGTAAACTCTCTTTCTCTTGCTCAAATGTTTACAGGATATTTTTTGTTTCAAAATGTATATTTTAAAAATTTCACAAAACGATGTCATCCCATTAATTCTTCCCACAATCTTAACCCTTGGGAATCCTAAACTAACTATTTCCTTTGTGTAAAGACTCCCAAATATTTACCTAAGTATCTGATCTCTTTCCAAATCTCCAGGACTAGGTTTCCAACTGCTTCCTACCTGTCAAATTTGACAAGCTAAAAACAATGGACTATATTAATTTTATTCTCCTCTTAAATTTGATTCTTCTAACAGTGTTTATAGTCTTTTTACTTTTAGTTTTATTTCTTTTATCTTTGCATCCCCAGTCCCTAGAACAGTGCCTGGCTTGAAAAGGGGCATTGTATATTTGGTGAATCAATGAATAAATGTATATTGTCATGATCTGTCAATGGCTCCCCAAACCTGCAATCACCCCTGACTCCAATCCCCTCCTTACATGTCTACAGCATGGCCCTACTACCTGTCACGTCTGTGTATTTAAATGCCCATCACCTATCAACTAGATTATTACAATAGTTATCAACATCTCCAATTTTTCCATTCTCCCATCCATTTTATGCAGCATTCTCATATTAATTTCCTTGAAGGATGTGTCTATTCTATCACTTATTCTATAATCCTATAAGGAGCATGTATCTTATGCAAGTATCTAAAGACAAAAACGAGCGAAGCAGTCTCCACGCTTGAGTAGCTCATGTTCCAGAGGGAGGGAGAGATGTGTCTAGAGATGCAGAGCAGGGAGAGCAGGGCCAAGACAGGAGCACAGAAGCAAGCGACGGGTGTGACAGACGCTGAACCAGTCAAGAAGTCACAGGAGAGAGGACATTTACGTCACCTCCTAACAGACAATTAGACATTTTCAAGCTTGCCATTAGACAGAAATAGCAACTATTCATCATTTGAGTCAGAAGAGAAAAAGGAAAGAATGCATGCTAACCAAGGTTAGTTTAGAAGTTGGGATTAGGGAAGAAAATTGACAGTGATTATATCTGCGGACGTCTGTTTATTCTCTGACACATATGAGGGATGAAGAACAAGTCACTGGCTGTGTCATCTTCCAGTGAGATGTGCTCCCACCTGGTGAGGATGACTTCCAGTTCCCCACACCTGATGGAACTCTCTAGCTATTCCCCGACATTCGATTTCTGCTGACAGGTATTGAATTGGGCCACATTAGGAAGCTGCCGTTTCCTGCTCTTCCTTGCACATTCCCACCATTCTGGCTGCAGTCTGCCTTTCCCCGGAATGCTTAGATAGACATTGCTTTCCAGGGGAGGGAGCCTTTAGTCAAGTAAATTGCTGCATGGGTTTTGTAAATTCACAGCAGACCAAATTGCTTGGAAGCCATAGCACTCTTTTTATTTACATAAGCCAGGCTTTTCTGAGAGAGAAAATAGGAGAGTTTTCTTCTGGCAGGGTGGGAGTATGTGGGGAATATTATTTTTGGAATTCCAAGGGCTGATCTTTGAATATAGTGCCAAAGCCTGGAAAATCAAAAGCATAGATTTTATAAATAAGTCACAAAGAACAGAAAGATCACAAAATAACAGTTTTTGCCACATGACATCATTTCTGCAATATACACACACACCATCAAAAAGAATACCGTCTGACCAGCAGGCAGAAAGAAGTGGAGTTTTATAATTTACTTTAAGTGCCTCTTGTATGCAAGGCTCTTGGGGGATAAAAGAAAATTAGGAACAGGGGGGGTTCAAGAGGGAGGAGACATATGTATGCTTATGGCTGATTCACATTGTATGGCAGAAACCAACACAATATTGTAAAGCAACTATGCTCCAATTAAAAATAATTTTTTAAAAAATGATCGTATAATCCAATGAGAGTGATGGAGAAACCCTCTTCACAGAAATATGTGAGGAGTGTCCTTTCTCTTCATATTGACCTAGACTTTGCTGTGATTCCTGGCTCCGTGCTTAGGCTTCCAGAGAGCATACAGTTTTTGATAAAATCTTCCAGAAATGTTCACAGACCTTGACCTGATGAAATTTCCAGGAGAACTAGAAGTGTAACCAAAATACACAGATCATCCAGATAAACTATCAAACACCAGCAGAAACAGGGGGACGGACTGATCTAACGTCCCCCGTCATTTGATAAATACTTAGAAACAGCAAACTGGAGGCTTTTAAGAGAGAAAGCCTAAGCCCTAACAGTTCTCCAAGGCATATGCTTGAAAAGCCTTTGGAGCTACGTAATAATTATTAGGCAAATTAATTAAATTACCTTTACAATCAGAAGTACACTACTCTTTGTTTACTGTAAGAATTATACAGGATTACCTTGAAATCTCCTTGAAAATGGTCTAGAATTGCTTTCTGGTAAAGAAATTCTGAAAGACAGAGGTTTTCCTTTTTTTGTGTGTTTTTTGGTTTGGTTGGTTCGTTGGTTGGTTTCTTATTTTGTGGGCAGATGAGTGAGAAAAAAATGAAGGACATGAAATTTGCTTCTCTTTTGAAAGGACTAATACCTCCCCTCCACCTTTTTGCAATATAAATTTTACTATTGCTCAAGAAAATATAGACCTGCCAAGCGATCTTTTTTAAAAAAAAACCCTTCGATTGAAAGAAAGAAAAATAACCTAGACAGATGGGAAAATACCACAAAGCCTTTAACCTTAATTAATAATTACTGGAACTGAAAGAAAAACTTAGAGTGCTGTTCAAGTGCCCTCAAGGAAACGTCAAACTCTCCTCACCAGAGAAGAGCTTTACTCAACAGCCAGGACTCCACGAGAAGGAGGGACATGAGGAATTTCACAAGCTATTTCAGTTACTTGGAATTTTCTTAGGCAAACCCCGTCAATTCTGCGCATGCGTGTTGTGGGTGCAGCCGGGGTCGCGCCCAGATCCCCATCAGCGGACCGCAGCCCGCACGTGTCAGCTGCTGGGAGCGTTGGCCTCGGACGGAGTGATGGTCGCCCGCTTCCCAAGCACAGCTGTCTCAAGTGAGGGACAGTGTCCTGTAGGAAGGTTGTGCCCCACCCCGGGAGGGAGGACGCAATGACTGTCTGACCCGGAGACACAGGGGCTGGGCTCCGCCTCACTGGGAGCAAAACTCCATGGGACAGTCGTGGCCCAGAGCACCCGGTCGGGCCCGGCGGAGACCAGTCTGCAGGAGAACTTCTCCTCAAGTAGCCTTCCTCTCCGGTCAGTTCTTGCTCTCGCAATTTTTCTTTCTCCTGGGAGCATTACCTCAACAAATCTCTTCCACAAGAATCCTTGTTTCAGGCACTGCTTCTGAGGAAGTCAACACAAGACAGTGCAACTAAATAAAATCGGAAGCACTCTTACACCATTCCTGCAATCCCCTTTCTGCTTTCTTTTCTCTATGCTAACCAATATTCCGATTTTTTTATACTTTCTATGTTTTTAATCAAGCTCTTCCCTCAGACGGAGAAGGCAATGGCACCCCACTCCAGTATTCTTGCCTGGAAAATCCCATAGACGGAGGAGCCTGGTAGCCTGTAGTCCATGGGGTCCTGAAGGGTCGGACATGACTGAGCGACTTCACTTTCCCTTTTCCTTTTCATGCATTGGAGAAGGAAATGGCAACCCACTCCAGTGTTCTTGCCTGGAGAATCCCAAGGACAGGGGAGCCTGGTGGGCTGCCGTCTATGGGGTCGCACAGAGTCAGACACGACTGAAGTGACTTAGCAGCAGCAGCAGCTTCCCTCAGAAAAGGATCTGACAGAGTCAGCTTCTTACACTTTTTAAAAAAATCTATTTATTTGACTGCACCATATGGGATCTACTTCCCTGACTAGGGATCGAACCCACATCTGCTGCACTGGAAATGTGGAGTCTTTGCCTCTGGACTACCAGGGAAGTCCCAGCTTCAAACACTTTTATGATAGCAGGTCTTAGGGTTTCTCTCTCTCTCCTGAGGTATTGCATTATATTGCATTTAACAAGATGCAAAGAACATGACTGGATTAAGGGATTCATTGTTAGTAGCTAAAGACTTTTGAGGGAGTGGAGTGAACTTTTCAGCCCCTAAAGCAATACATCACAGGTCTGTACATACTCTACCTAAACACAAGTTTCACCTTAATTAGAAAGGTTTGGTGTCATTTGTTTTTGTAAACTGATAACCCCTGGCATCACTGCAAATACACTGAAGAACCCTTCCACTTCCCCCATTCTTAGGAAGGCATGGAGGGTGTTCTGAAAGCAGGAGCCAAGGATCTCTCTCTTTCCTCCACTCCCGTGTTTCCTGGACTCATCCTCTCCCAGGAATCACAGACAATGAGTTAATCAGTTCAGCATTGTTCCTTGGAGTCTTATCTGCACTGAGGGAGGGGGGAAGGGGTCACAATATCATTGATATACTAAGTCCAAAAACTAAAGAAGTAAAAAATCCTATTTAACTTGCTAAATCCAGACCTCTTAAAGTTACCTCTAGAATCAGACTTTTATGACTCATAGATTAGGACACACCAATATGATCCAATGTCCTCATTTTACACATAAGAACTTGAGCCTCCTCTCTCCCTCTACCCCAAATTTCCCTTCTTTGTTTTACCAGCTCCCTGGGTGTGGACCAGCCCCAGCTCTGCAGGGATGTGTGGCATCCTAGAGCCGGTGCGGTGTCCCTGCTGACCACGTGCGCCATGCCCTCACCAGCTGCTGAGCCGCTCTCGCTGGCGGAGGAGGCCGACTGCATGTTCCACCTTCGAAGATGACTTCCCCTGGTTCCCAAGTCAGTGTTTGCAATGTGAGAGTCGGGTCTCCTGCTGCGTGTGTATGAGCAGACAACATTGTCCCAGACCCAGGTCGACTAAATAAGTGACCTGTTTGCTTTGATTGGAGGTGTTGCTGCGGAGCTGGAATGCACCCTCACAGATCTTTTTTGTGGGATTACACCTGTGTGAATTCACAACAATTCTCTGTTCCAGTGACTTTGAGGATTCACGGTATCTGTTCCCGTCAACATGTTTTTTTAATGATTCATATTTTTTAAACATTTAGTGATGCTAGATACTTCTCCCTCCTTGTTTAGACTATCAACAATCACTGCTTAATAACAGCTTGACTTTGTGATCAATGAAGTCAAACTGAAAGGTGGTTATTCCATGAAAAAGCAAAGAATTTATGGTCAAAATCCTTTGGTTTGTCTTTCAGCTCTAATCATGAGAAAAGGACACAGGGTTCTTCAGAGACATGTCATACTGTCTGCATATTTATAAATAAATGAAAGCCACGGGGGTGGGAGGGATGTCTTTAGAAATAAACTCTCAGACTTCAAGTTCAGCTAAGGAAACTGTAGCAAAATGCACCTATGGCTGAAAAGAAAATCAGTCATTGTATACCCTGTTTAGTATTCAGCCTTTTATCTGGAGCTAATATGTGAACCGTGAGCTTCCAGATGTTCAAGCTGGTTTTAGAAAAGGGTGAGGAACCAGAGATCAAATTGCCAACATCTGCTGGATCATCGAAAAAGCAAGAGAGTTCCAGAAAAACATCTATTTCTGCTTTATTGACTATGCCAAAGCCTTTGACTGTGTGGATCACAATAAACTGTGGAAAATTCTTCAAGAGATGGGGATACCAGACCACCTGACCTGCCTCTTGAGAAACCTGTATGCAGGTCAGGAAGCAACAGTTAGAACTGGACATGGAACAACAGACTGGTTCCATATAGGAAAAGGAGTACGTCAAGGCTGTATATTGTCACCCTACTTATTTAACTTATATGCAGAGTACATCATGAGAAATGCTGGGCTGGAGGAAGCACAGCTGGAATCAAGATTGCTAGGAGAAATATCAATAACCTCAGAGATGCAGATGACACCACCCTTATGGCAGAAAGTGAAGAGGAACTAAAGAGCCTCTTGATGAAAGTGAAAGAGGAGAGTGAAAAAGTTGGCTTAAAGCTCAACATTCAGAAAACTAAGATCATGGCATCTGGTTTCATCACTTCATGGGAAATAGATGGGGTAACAGTTTACACAGTCTCAGACTTTATTTTATTGGGCTCCAAAATCACTGCAGATGGTGATTGCAGCCATGAAATTAAAACATGCTTACTCCTTGGAAGGAAAGTTATGACCAACCTAGATAGCATATTAAAAAGCAGAGACATTACTTTGCCAACAAAGGTCCATCTGGTCAAGGCTATGGTTTTTCCAGTGGTCATGTATGGATGTGAGAGTTGGACTGTTAGGAAAGCTGAGTGCCAAAAAATTGATGCTTTTGAACTATGGTGTTGGAGAAGACTCTTGAGCGTCCCTTGGACCACAAGGAGATCCAACCAGTCCATCCTGAAGGAGATCAGTCCTGGGTGTTCATTGGAAGGACTGATGCTGAAGCTGAAACTCCAATACTTTGGCCACCTCACGCGAAATGTTGACTCATTGGAAAAGACCCTGATGCTGGGAGGATTTGAGGGCATGAGGGGAAGGGGACGACAGAGGATGAGATGGCTGGATGGCATCACTGACTTGATGGGTTTGAGTAAACTCTGGGATTTGGTGATGGACAGGGAGGCCTGGCGTGCTGCGGTTCATGGGGTCGCAAGAGTCGGACACGACTGAGCGACTGAACTGAACTGAAGGAGTGTTCTTGCCTGGAGAATCCCATGGACAGAGGAGCCTGGTGGGCTACAGTCCATGGTGTTGCACAGAGTCGGGCATGACTGAAGCAACTTAGCACACACACTTGCATGTTTATAAAGAAACTATTAGGACAACTTGCTTTTTCTCTACTCAAATTGTCCCACGGGTAGACAGCAGTGAGGCCTCCCAAGGCCAGTCTGTTGCAGCACACTGCCTCCTTCACGAAACACAGCCTCCCTCAAAATTTCACGGAGGGCAGCCGTGTATGCAGGGGCACAAACCTCAAGGCCAATCACTACTAGGGCCTGCTAATCTGTTTGGGGCTTCACACCTCTCTTCCCTTCCAACAACATGAACAAGAATGATTTCCTAACCAGCCGTGCTCCTGATTCATTCTCTCTGCATATAGGGTGAGGAGAGGAGCAAAGTGAAAGGCATTTCCCCACAGTTACATGCAGAGATATAATATTTGACAGTTAAAGAGGACCTTAAACATGGTCTTGAAAAGTACTTTGCTTTTCACCCAGGAAAATTCTGCTGTTTCAGGAAGGCATGTCATCGTTGTTTGTCTCCATGCACTCCTGGAGCAGGTGTGTTTTGCAGTCATTAGCAATGTAGCCAGCCTCTCCCTTTGTACAACTTCAGTAAGGATTTGAGCCTACACACATGCACACACACACATTGATCTAGGGAGTGGGAATGAAAGGCAATATGAAATAAAAGGGAAAATAAAGGATGTTGATGAATGGAGTTCAGAGTCAGCTGAGCAACTCTTTGGGTTCCATGGAAGCGCCATGTTTAGAGGTTTGATAGGCCACTGGCTATGGCTGAGGCTCAACAGGCTTCAGCTGGCGTACATCGTCTCCCCAGTGTGTTTCAAGTTCCCTTCCTGTTCCAACACACACCTCACCCCTTTTATTTACAAATTTAATTTAAATTAGTGCACATGGGTCTTCGAGAAAATTGTTAAACTGCTGGAAGAACAGATGTTGTAAACTGAAAAGAAAGTGTTCATTTTGCTGAAGTGTATTTGTGTGTGTGTGTGTGTGTGTGTGTGTGTGTGTGTGTGTGTGTGCCCAGAGCTAATTCTGAGCAGATTTTGCTTTTGACTTCTCCTGGAAAATATTTATTTTCTTTGGAGTGTGGAATTACTGTTCATTCCTGGCGAGAGCTGATTGTTTGCTTGTATTAGTTTGCCAGGGCTACCATAACATAGTACTCTGAACTGGGTGGTTTAAACAACAAAAATTTATTTTCTCCCAGCCTGGAGGCTAGAAAGCCAAGATCAAATTATCCACAGGATTGGTTTCTTCTGAGAAAGAAAATGAACTGTTGTTGACAGTTACCAAATCTGAATTCTTGTGCTGTTAGCTTTCAGGTTAAGCTCAATGCAAAAGTTCAATTTAGGATTCTCCAAGAAGAGAAGAAATCTAAACTATATGATAATCCATAGGGTCATCTATTTAAGTGCTTTTTCGCATTGCAATTGTGTCTTTTCAGGAACAGTTTCCTTATGTCTATAAAAGGCATTAAGCAGTAATGCATCTCACACTTTATGATTGGTTTTCTCTTGGCCTCACCTTCAGTCTGCAACTTAGCAGAGTGTATCTACAGTTTCCAGTGGAAGATGTTAGG